GAACAGCTGCCCCCTGGCCATAGATGTGATTGGAAGACGTGGAAGTCCCTCAATAGGCTTCGCAAAGGGGTGGGGCGATGTAAATACAACATGAATAAATGGGGATATACTGACGACACAGACACCAACTGCGAGTGTGGAACATCCGTGCAATCCATGTCACACCTATTAAGATGTCCACTCCTAATTGACCAATGCTGCCTGGAAGACCTGGTGGCAGCAAATGAGAAGGCTCTTTAGTGTGCCAAGGCCTGGCAGAGTATTTGAGGACACGAAAGAAGAATACAAAGTGTATATATCCTTTTCTTGAACATGATATTATTTATTTTTGGTGCTTGATAATCTTTATAGATATTTATCACAACTATGAAATTTTAGATGGTTACAATTTCGTGTTTTTTTTTGGTTTTTTTTACTCTCTCTTTTTTTTTCTTCTTCATTTTCATTTTTTGAAATTCAGTTATGAGTTATGAGATTTTGATCGATCGGGTGGGTGGTACATGCACGACATTACTTATTATAGGCTCTAGTAAGCTTGGCTTGTTAGAACTCTTGTGAGTAATGTGCCGCGGGATTCCATATCCTTAAACTGCTGGCGAACAGAGCAACAAGACCAAGCTCTGTAATTATTAGGATCTCTGTCCAGTAGTGCCGTGTTTGTGCCATCGAACTGGATCGACCAAATCAATTGATTCATAATATATATATGCAATATTTTTTCCCCTAACATGAGAGTAATTTTAATAGTTTTATACCATTAATTAAATGTAATGTTAACTGTAATTGTTTACATTCACAGTAACAAATGAAACGGGATGCGTTTTTGCGGGTACTTGAGATTTAATAGAGGATGGAATCTTGTTACCCTGAATATCAACATCATGACAATAATAACAACTACGACACAAACTTTCCCAACTGAATATAAAATACGTTTACTTAAACGTTACACTGCTCCAATCTGCCCCAGGGAAGGACCCGGGTATCATTTTCGAATCTTTTGATCAATTTATACAAGTATCTGCACATGAAAAACTGGATGGAGCCGGCATGTCCAATCCATAGTACTCTCTGCATCAGGGCCGTCAACAGACGAGAACTTGTGTACAACCCCCCACAGCCCGTAAAAAGGCGACACTGTTTCCTCATTAAAGAGGGCGAACAGAGTTTACCTTCTCATATGGAATTTAACTGTGAGTACCACAAAGTGGGCTGTACGTATAACACCCCTCTGCATACAAAGAAGACACACGGTTCCACTGCATTAAACAGGCGAACAGATGCCTACTTTACAGGCGGGTACATGTTATAAATAAATAAACAGGATACCTGTTATCATCGGGGCCCTTACCGGAAAACCATAAATATTGAGCTCTGAAAAACTGGATGGAGCCGGCATGTCCAATCCAAAGTACTCTCTGCATCAGGGCCGTCAACAGACGAGAACTTGTGTACAACCCCCCACAGCCCGTAAAAAGGCGACACTGTTTCCTCATTAAAGAGGGCGAACAGAGTTTACCTTCTCATATGGAATTTAACTGTGAGTACCACAAAGTGGGCTATACGTATAACACCCCTCTGCATACAAAGAAGACACACGGTTCCACTGCATTAAACAGGCGAACAGATGCCTACTTTACAGGCGGGTACATGTTATAAATAAACAGGATACCTGTTATCATCGGGGCCCTTACCGGAAACCAATAAATATTGAGCTCTGCAAGATACAATGGCCAATTAAAATAATCCAAATCATATTCTCCAAAACACAACCTTCCCATGGGGTATTCTGCAGCAGTGTGTAATACACATAATAACCTTTATATGTATATATTAACATATATACACATACACATATATATATGCGAAGAGGCAAAAATGCCAATTTCCGCATGTCACCACGCAAATTCCAACAATTCGCGTGTTTAGATCCCCCCCCCCCCCGAGGCCACTCCGTGACCCCCTTTCGGATGAGGTGAGGGCGAAACAAACCCGATCTTCAGACCACTGATCTGAGAAACATGACCGGGACAAAATTCCCTCACGGCCCACGACTGCGGAGCCATTCGTTATAAAACCGCAGATATTCGTGCGACCAAGCAATTTGCTCCAAATCCGAGTAAACTTTCAATTTGATATAGCATTACCCTGCATGTCCTTTGGGAATACAATTCTCCTTTAATTCGTGAACACACTCACTAAATAATGTTAAACCCACTGTATACAGCGATAAATCGGTATAACGAGGTTCTTAATTGGTCCCGTTAAATTTACCATGCTACAGCAGAAATGCCGTTGTATATAATCATGGACCTAATACAGGTAACAACAAAATATAATATAACGAGCTGGGACCAGGAATGTTATTCTGCTATATTAACAACATTGTTACATATGAAATCTCCTTTAATCGAGATTACCCTGTATCGTATATATTCGATTGCTTGACCTAAAGCATGTAAAACAATTTCCATGCATTATTGCATTTATATCTGTGAGACAAAACACATATCATGTCAATCATAACTTATCTCCTAGACCAACAAAACCATTATTACAAAATCGTATTGCTTGCAAAACAATAATGCCAATATATATAATCGAATTAACAACAACGACAAAATATGGTATAACGAGCTGAGACCAAAATTGTTACTCGGCTATATCAACAACGTTGTTATATATAAAATCTCCTTTAATTGTGATGCAGGAAAGCCCCAACCTGCCAAGCATTGCTTCGACATCAAGATTACTTGACTGAGGGGAAAAACAAACATGATTAATCCGTTATGTTAATCACTTGACACGCTTCCTGACCACATAATATTTAGTAAAACATACTATCGAATACACTTGAAAAACGTAAGGAGGAAAATGAAGTTGGGGTTGGTGGAGGGTAAATTAATTTGCCACCGAATAATGTCTATGACCATCCTCTACAAAATCTGCAAGGTGAATGAGGATTCTCACGCCAACACCGTGAGAACCAATATATCCCGGCTAAAATAATTCCATATATAAATTCGAAACATACATTGCGCACATTCCTTTTATAGATACGCGTACATGAAAGAAGCCGCGCGGCTGACTCAAAGGGTGTCGGCATGTTATTGTTTTCTATCAAGATGCCGCTAAGGGTCATCACAGAAGAGAAGCCGCCGCGAACTCGTGATGTCACTGATGAATGTAAACCATTTATATCGCCCTTCGTTCGATAAAATTTCATAATTGTTTTAAATGGGGGCACGCTACAAGAGTCCTATCTCGCACCCCGGGGCAACGTGTCTGACACGGCCGGTTGTAGCAACTACTCCGAAGATCAAGATTACATTAATCTTGATCTATGGAGACACGAACGAACCGAGTGCCTCCCCTCGAATCCCATTATGGGATAATTTATGCAATGAAATATAATGATTAATAGTATTGAAGGCATGGGGAAGTTCAGGAACATTCCGACGGTATGTGACATATTATCAATGGCATGGGCTACTTTATCTTACATCTTAAGTAATGCTTGTGGTATGGAGTGTTTTTGTCAAAGTCAAATTGTTTATCAAACACAGTGTTAAAGTAAAGTATACATTTCATAATTCGTAAATAAATTAGTTTTTTTTTTGGGAGAGGGATGTCAAAAGGGATATTGGGCGATAATTACCAAGATTTTATATGTTCTCATTCTTAACAATTGGTACGACCTTAGCGATTTTCATCTTTGGAGCACAACACCTGTTGTTATCGATAAAATTCAAAACATGTGTTAGGAGTGATACAATTTCTTTTTAAATGCTTAGTAGTCGATTTGTGACACCATCAAATCCTGTACCTTTTGTAAAGTTTTAAGTTATTTACTTCATTCATGACCTCATGTTCAGCGATTGGAGTGAAGAATAGGAACGAGTCTTTTGTATTTTTCAAAAGAAATGTTCAGGAATTCGTTGGTAAGATTAGGGCCAACATTGATATATTTCATTATTCAATTCCTCTGCTTTTTGAGAGGTTCCAGAATTTCGGTTACGTTTAGTAGCGCCGTTTTTTTCTTTTGGGTTATCAACATGATCTCTTTCAACTGGGTTTGGAGATGATGCATCATCATGCACTGCAGTTTGCAGGCCCGTCGGTCGAAATGGCTGGTAAGTGTTATAAGGGGCTTTAACCCTGGTGCTATTTAGGCTTTCCATCATTCATGCAGTTTCGCTCATATAGTTACACTAGGCGGATGAGACACTCCTCTCCTAGCCACCCTGGTCTGTCCGCCACAACTGAACAAGTCAGATGGCTCACAACCCCTACCAGCTTGAAGGTAGACCAGGACGTTTACCTTGATCCTCACAAGTTGGTCCTTCCTCACACTGCATGCGTAGTGCTACCGGGAAGGGTCTCCCCCTTGCGTTCCATAATATAATGGGAGGGTTAAGATTTCTATTTGTGAGTTAGCTCCAAAATACACACATAACAAACAAAAATGAAGGGGATTTAACACCCCCCCCCCCCCCCCTGCGTACGCGCCTGCAGAGGGTCCAATTTCCATATCCGATATTAAATCAGCTTGCTAAATCATTTCTTTTTTTGTATGAGAAGTTTTTAGTTTCCCCTTTTTTCGACCTGCCCGCTTTCCAGGTATTTTTCGATAGCAGGGGTGATCGTGTTTCAGGCGTTTTAGGCGTTTCAGGCGAGACGTCCGATTTGGTGTGACTAGTCTATGTAACTAGTAACAAGTTTATGTATGAAGTATGATCCAATTCCCATTTCAAACAGACAGGGAGGAGATGGAAGGACCGTCTTTATAATGGTTTCATTTCGTTTAATAATTAACCGCATTGTTTCTGTGATCTGTGGGATGAAACCTGGTTTTCTTGTTCAGTCTGATTTCTCATGGTAATTTTATCTTATATCAGTTCATTTATTTATATTTCATTTCCTCCATTTAAAGTCATTTTATTGTTTTGTATTTCATATCTTTTGTATTTTAATTTGTTTTATTTTATTTCATAATATTTTATTTAACTATATTTTACATCAGTATTTTGCAAGCAGTGAGTTTTTATATTTGTGGTTGACCTGAAATGTGGTTATTTTAACATGTGTAGGCTATGTACACCCCCCACCCCTGCCCCCGGAAAAAATAGCAATCATGGATTCTCAATGACTAAAATAAATGTCAATGTCTTTCATTATTTCCGATAAAAGTAACGTCAAAAACATTTCCCTCTTTTTTCTTATTCATCCGTTCCCACAGTTAGTAATTATAAACTATTACTTTAATGATCCATATGTCTCGGGTAAATTTAATTTCTCGTCATTTCGATGTTAATTTTCACCCATAAAGAAACATGTTAATTGAAATGTCAATTGATTTAAATGTTTTATGCAGATTTCTCTCCCAAGAACCTCACCGAGAAGTTGACAACTGCAGTGGTTCAGAGATCCGAAAATAAGGTAATAACGTCTTTGCTTAACCTAAAGAGAAGGTTGAGTTCTGGGGAAGGCGGAACATGATTTGTCAGCTTATGCATTATTTTAATGTTAGTGTGAAACAATATCGGGAAGAACAATTTCCCCTGAATAGATTACTCTTGAAGAGCCCTCATATTCGATATATGAAGTGAATGGACAAAACCTTCATGACACATGGTTGTAAGTCCCATGATACACACTTCTGTGTACAATGCGTGTGGCTTTCAGCAAAACTGAATTGATTTATTATGATTATGGTAGGAAATACCATAGCCTGACAGTATACTACCTCCTATGTCATAATTAATATTTTCCAGTTGCTTCCAGAAAGTTTCTTTCACAATTCAAGCGCATAACCAGAACTGAATCTTATCTGTTATTGCAGCTGCGTTACGCCGTTCTTCTTCTATACTGTTTTCACACTGGCAATATTTTAATTAACCCCGTACTATAGGTGGGGTCACTGGCGTACTGGTGGGGGGGGGGGGCTTGGGGGCGCCAGCCCCCCCCCCCAAATAAAATTGAACCATGACTTATTTTCAATTCCATATACAAGTAATATCACATGATTTTCAACAAAATGCGCATTTCTTTAGGTCCTCGAAAATTTGAAAAATTGCACCCCCCCTTGAGGGCCAGGGGGGGGGGGCGCGGGACGGGGGAGGGGGGGGGGGTGGGGGAAACTGAATTCAGACAAGAACACGATACAACGAATCGTCTTCTTTCTCTGATAATTTAATGAAACGTGGAAGCTTCCGCGCTTCGCGCTAGATTGGCGTATATGAATTCAGACAAGGATCAAGAGTAATAGTTTAATGAAACCTCAGAGTTTCTGTGCTTCGCGCGAGATCGGCGAAAATGAATTCAGACAAGGATTAAGAGTTGGAACCGGTATATGAATCGTCTTCTTTCTTTAATAATTTAATGAGGTGTCAAAGCTTCCGCGCTTTGCACGGGATGGGCGAAAATGAATTCAAACAAGGATTAAGAGTCAAGAACGGTACAACGGATCGTCTTCTTTCTCTAATAATTTAATGAAGTTTCCGCGCTTCGCGCGGGATGGGGAGACTGAAAAATAACTTAGTTCCCGTCCCCGGGTTTATAGGGTTAAATTTGTAGACGTTTGGACATTGGCATTAATATATTTGTCGGTATATTTGTTGCTCGTTTTGTCGGTAATCGGTGGCCTCTATATACACCCTCCCCACTCCCCCACTGACACAGACCTAGCGACGCCCCTGATAACTACACAGTTTATACACTCGAGAAATGTTTTGCAAGTACTACTGATGAAGTACCGGACCACCGTCTTTGTGCATTGTGCGGCATCAAAGCATATACAACGTCTCAAGACGTGACAGATCACTTTTCTCTAACTTCTAACCAATCAGAAGGCCTCGTTTTTTCCAGGAAGTGCCGGTGGACATTAATGCGCCAAATGTGGTTCTCAAATTGCACAAGATCCCTAATCTTGGAAGGGGTAGGAGAAGGCAATTTTACGTCATATTACTTAAGGAAGTGCCTGAAAATGCGTCTAATTTGGTTCTAAAATTGCAAATGCTTCTTACTCTGGGAGGGGGTTCTGGGCCCACCCTCGCTTGGTCGCTCCGCTCCCTTGCCGCTAAAGCCTCGTTCTGTCGCCTCATCGTTTTACATAAATTTAACCCCATGCCATTTTGTGCCCCCCCCCCGTAACAAATTCCTGAATCCGCCACTGATGCCCATACCCCTTGAGCTTCGGGGGCTCTGCCCCTTGACCCCCGCCGGGGCTTTGCCCCTAGACCCCACTTTGCGAAACGTTCAGCGGGGCCTGCATGTCAGAGTAGGGTGGTGCGGATTTTTGTGTGTCAGCCCCCCCCCCCCCCCCAAACGTTCCACTTTCTGTTCAGACTCGTTTTTACCAAAGTGGGCTAACCCCACCTATAGTACGGGGTTAACTAACCCTGCAAAATAGCAGGGCTAACCTCGCCCTGGTGCTAACTACTGCTAACTCCGCAATTGCGGTGCCAAGCAAATGAATGAGAACAGAAACGAAAAATAGTCCGGGACTACGCAGTGAAGCGAATTAATGAATTCCATGGCCATGGCTAGTACGGGGCTAAGGAATTGCAGTGAGAAAAGCCAAAAAAATAGTCCGGGGTTAAGGATAGTACGGGGCTAAGCAAAGTACGGGGTTAAGCAAAACCAGTGTGAAAAGTAGACCAGCTAAGGCGTGATTTTTTTTTATTTTTTTGAGGGGGGGGGGGGGCATTGCATGACATGGCATCCATTCTAAAACGTTTGCAAGATGAGATAGGGGTGGCTGAAAATATGAAAGAATTTCCAAGTTTATGATATTTAAAAAAATCGAAATAAATGTGTATCATCTGATAATAAAAGACCTTTTAATTGATATTTTTTTTATTATGAGTTTCAAGTAATTAACCTGTTTAATATAAATTTGAACTTTGGGTATTTATACACATGTGTATAGCTCAATATAACATAAACGCGTGACTTCCTCAGAATATGGGGTTATACTACCTATATTTCAAAAGATCTTTTTTACACACCATAAATCTGTCCATTGCAATAGTGTTTTGTTATTAACAGACCATTTGTATTTGTTTTAAAATAAACTTGTCATTTATGAGCAGCAAGTTTTGAGAAATGTGACCCGATTCCAGAATAGTTCGGCGACTTTGTTTATCATATTCAAACCATTATTCTCATGTTTGTCATTTCTTTTTACACACAAAGTACACCTTGTTGACCTTCGACCCAATCGTTATGCACTAGCCACCACCACCCCCACCCCCAAAGATACACATACACCTGCAAACGACGGTGATCGTTTGAGGCAGCTACTTTAATCATGTCGACTTATATTGAGCAGCTTTTGTAATTGGTTGTGTTCCTTGTTATTTTCCCTTGTTTGAGATCAAAAGTAAGATATTATAAACATATTTTACCATATTCTTCACCCCTCTCTTTCTATCTCTTTCTCTCTCCCCTTATTCATATCTTCCCTCGTATAAGGACACTGAAATTCGGACGGATGAGATGAAGGACAGTGTAGAAGAATTCATGTCAGCCCAAAGCGAGGTCAATCGCCTGAGGAGAGAGTTGATACTTCAGAAGTGCGCCAAGCATCCAGAACTGAATCAAAGTGGTATTAGCTACACCACATATCGCCATATATACTTCAGTGACAAGCACAAGCTTCTCTATTGTTTCATTCCGAAGGTCGGATGCAGCAATTGGAAGAGGGTGATGATGATTTTGAACTGGAGCAAGAAAAACATCAGCGAGATGCTATCCGACGAAGTCCACGAACACAACGGCATGAAGCGCCTCGCCGAATTATCGCGCGCAGAGCAACAGCAGAAGTTACAAACATACAAGAAATTCATTTACGTGCGCAACCCGTTTGGGCGCGTGGTGTCAGCCTTCAATAATAAATTTGGGGATATTGTTCAGTATCGAAAAGCCCCATACTTCCAGGGTTTTGCGAAAACTATCATGAAGCAATTCAGATCGCATGCAACAGCGACAGAGCTAAAAACGGGTGAAAACATAACTTGGACAGAATTTGTAAAGTTTTTGACACAGTCCAATCGGCCGTTCTTTGACGACCATTGGGAAGAAATGTTCAAGATTTGTTCACCATGTAAAATTAGATACGATTACGTAGGCCATTTAGAAACTGTTTCAGAAGACGCAAAGTATATGCTCACAGATTTGCAGGTAGACTCGTTGATTGAATATCCGTCTAAAAGCAATAGTCACCCAACGAACAGCACCGCTAAACTTGAAAAAGCTTTTCGAGATTTACCCAAAGACAATTTAAAGAAATTGTGGAAAATTTACGAGAAAGATTTCGAAATATTTGACTACCCAAAGCCAGATTTCATTGGAGAATATTTGATTAGGTAAAGACGGAACGACTTTACCAACAGGGCGTCTTTTTTAATCCTTGGTTGTATTTTTATCACTTTGAAAATTACATTTGTAAAGTAATATTTTCCCTTTTATAATTGGTACTATATTATCGTACCAATCAAAGATAAAAAAGGGCTATGTAAATAAACATTTTCGTCACGGTGTAGCGACGAATTATTTAAATGTATTTCGACAAAATACCACGTTCACCCCCGCCCCTGCCCTCCCTTTGATATCAACTTCATCAAATAGAAATCCTTTAATTTGTTTTGCATTTCATATCCATTGCATACAGGGGAAAACATAAAATCATATCATAAAACTTGTACCCAACTTTGGTAGCTTCTAATTAACAAGTTATAACCTATGTGACCTTGAATCACATTTCATGATAACGGGCAACTAATACAGTGCTTAATGGTACCAATAATTGTGGATGACTGAGCACCAGGCTTCTCAAAAAGAATTGTCAAAATCCTCTTGCACCAAGTTTAGGTTGAAGCAATGAATGCGGGTCAAAAGCCATTAAGTGTTTTATCTCATTGCAAAAATAATAGGTCATTTATTTATATTGACTATTAGGCAGTTGAAAAGAAAGGGTGTTAATATCAAATCAGACAAGAGGAAATGCTTATTACAAGCAAAATATATGATATTCTCTTCGTTGACTTCGTATTCGCACCCCATTTTAAGGTAACGCTTCGTTGGAATATTTTTGTTTTACCCCAATTTATGGAATTATTTTAAAAATAATTTAAAAATAATAGATCTAGATAATAGTATACATTCTCAGATTTTATTGAATAATAATTCGCCAATGTGTTTTGAGCTACTGCTAAAGCATGTGTATGCTACTATGCTTATCAACTAGGGGACCTACGCCCTTAGGTCATAACTGACAGTAATGAGGATTAATGCCCCACAAAAGGGCACTAATATAGCTCATCGACACGGTTTTGATCCTGGGGCCTCACAGTTACGAGGTCATTGCTTTGTCACTGAACCATGACTGTACGCAGCGGGGGCTAGGGAAGGGGGCAGTTTCCATAAATTTAAAAACAAAACAGAAAATGCAATAAATTTTCAATAATTTATTGCCATTTACCCCGGTTCCCAACGTAAACAAATCCTCTTGACGGCCATGCATTATGGCTCAATACAAGGCATGGGCACACAGAGGATTTTTTATGTTGGGAACCGGGGTAAAATGACGAATAACATGATTCCAAGTCCTTCATGAATAATAAAATGTTCACTATTGTCTTGCTATTGCTAAAGATCAATCTTGTTGTGGTGTGAAGGGTAAAACCTTGAAAACTTGTCAACTGTAAGTAAATGTTATGTGTACAGTGTACAACTTAGCTACATTTTTTTCCAAGAATAAAGCGAAATGATCGATAAAGTTCAGTGTAGCCAGTGGTGATTGTGTATTTTCTTCCAGTCGTGGCATGTTGTCTTTTCAGATCCAAAAGGGCGTTCACTCTCTGTAAAAGTATATGAGTTAATGCCCTTCTGGCTCCAAACAGATGATTTATGTATGGTTTACAGGGGGGATGACTGCTATCATGAAGATTATATTTTGGTCATGAAGATGATCATGATATTGAAACTTGTGATGATAGTGTTGATATCAGGGGTGTCGATTTGTATCCGTGGTTGGGGGGATGATAGGTGCCAAAATATTTTCGGTAATGGATCAAAGCACCCAAGAGGTAGAAGCGTGTAGCAGGTTGCACCCCTCCCTTTTAAGTTATTAACTTTTTCAATTTACCCTCAATAAAGATAACATTTCAGAGAATATAAGAGTGGTAATAAAAATAAATAACATGCTAAATGTTAGTCCTGACTCTTGCCTGCAGTGTGGGCCTACCCAGGGGCGTCGCTAGACTTTTTTTCAGTGGGGGGGGGGGGGGGGGGGGGTAGAGGCCAACGATTACCGACAAAAATAAATGTCCCAATATCTTCAAATTTTACCCTATTATCCCGGGGCCGACGGCTAAATTGTTTTTCCTATGGACTATCTATAGTACTTGCGTATGCGCAAATGGTCATTTTCCTTGACGACATAAATATACGAATTATTTCGTAAACTTAGTCAGCCTCATAGCTATATCTTTCAATGCAGGCGCGGAGCTAGGATCTTATTTTAGGGAGGGGCGGTAGTGAGCAAACGAATCACTTAAAGAGCGCGCGAAGCGCGCTCATAAGGGGGTGTGGGTGATAGGCCTCCCGCGCGAAGCGCGGAAGCTTATGGACGCTTCCTTAAAGTATTAAGAAAAGAAGACGATTTGCTGTACCGTTCTCGACTGTTAATCCTTGTCTGAATTTAGTTTCTCCCCCTCCCGCGCAAAGCGTGGAAGCTTAGGCGTTTCCTTAAATTATTATAAAAAGAAGACGATCTTTTGTACCGTTCTCGACTGTCTGAATGAAGTTTCCCCCTCCATAATGGGTAACACATGGGGAAATCTGGGTTAACCAAAATGGGATATTATCTGGGTTAACCAATATGGGTACCAGCTGGGATTAAGCTGGCCATTAGGGCCCAGTTTGGTATGGGTCCCATCTGGGTCCAATCTGTCTTATATGTTTCTTGGGTGCAGATGCCTTAGGGCCCCAGATGGTTTTCCATATGGGGCCCATGTTTCAGAGAATATGGGATCCATGTGGGTCCCACATGGGCTTGCTACCTGGGTTATTATCCCCTCTGTCTCTCATTATCTCTCTCTCCCACTCTCTACTTCGTTTTTGCACTTTTGCGCTTCGAGCTTAACATTTAGCTCGTTGCTTTTTAACGCTGCAGCTTTGCATTTGGCGCACTACATTTCTATGATGCTGTGGATTGAATAAATTGAATAAATTCATCAATTCCTGATGAAGCCGTATGAGCGAGAATTCAATTTATTCTTGTCTCATATACGGTTGTCTCATTTACTTCGTTTTCTACTTATAGATGTATGTATTATAAAAATGAGATAGCAAAATGTGTATATTGATGGCCATCTTACTCTCATCGGGCTCTCGTCATTATTATTTTTTTTTATTTTGTTGATGGTGAATTATTGGGGGGGGGGGGATGATTGTACAGGCTATCCCCTCACCTGAAATATTGGGGGGGGGGGGGGATATATCCCCCATCCCCCCCCCCCCCCCCGGGATCGACACCCATGGTTGATAGTGATGGTGATGGTGACGATGATGATGATGGTGGTGATGATGGTGATAGTGATGATGGTGAAAGTGATAGCGATAATAATGATGATAGTGATGATGATGATGATGATGATGATGATTGTGATGATGATGATGATAGTGATGATAGTGATGGTGATACTGATGATGATAGTGATGATGATCATGATGAGGCGTTAACAAAGAAAGATGTATTGCCCTTTGCTACCGACCCAAAAGTCTTAAAATCTACAGTCGGCTTTTTCTTATAGCTTTTTTTTACACTGTTTTTTTTTCAATTTTTTTCCTCCAATGAATACAAACAAAAGTATTTTGTTTGTTTGAATGGGATATAAATGCATAAAATCATCAAATTATTCCCAAATTCTCAGTCGTCTTCTGCCCTAATGTCGAAATCCTGCTTTATAGCGTATTCAAGTAGACCCCGGCCTCGTGTTCGTGTAAGTTTTAAAAAAGAAAAAGAAATCCCATCGACCGACACAGGTTCTGTCACCTAAAGGGCAATACAACATCCTTTTTTAAAGGCCTAATGATGATGATAGTGATAATGGTGGTGATAATGTCTAACTTGCTGATGATGATAGCGATAGTGGTGATGATGATGATGAGGATAGTGATGATGATGTTGATGATGCTGATGAAAATGATTAACGTGGTGCTGCTGCTGCTGATAATGATAGGAATAGTGATTATGATGATGGTGATGGTGATAGTGATGGTAATGGTGATAACAGTGGTGGTGATGAAAAATATTTTTAAAGGTAATACAAATTATTTATATGTTTTTCATATTGTAGGCATTACTTGTCGTTTCTTTAACGCTAGTATAATCCAATGTTTTGCTATTGAGAAAAGGTATTGTTATTGTCAAGTTTTCATGCTCCTAGAAATGATTTAATTGAAAACAACTAGAATCAGACAAAATATGCATGATTGCGAAGTCTTTTCATTATTTTATATAGGTATTTATGTTTGCTACCACAATTTAACAATACATTCGTTAACAACCTCTCACTGAAGTTGAATTATTCAAATACGAGTATGTCGCAATTACGTTACAAACGAAACTCTAAATCGCTACATTGAGTTGTAAGATCAACTGGAGTCATCTCCAATTTAGTTTTGAAAGTATTAGTACGTCTCAATAATTACGTTACATACGAAACACGAAATCGCTACAGTCAGTTGTAAGACCTTCTTGAATCATCACTAAATTACTTTTGAAAGTAGGCTACTAGTACGTCTCAGTAATTACGTTACATTCGAAACACGATATCTATATATTGAGTTGTAAGACGTACTTGAATCTTCACCAATTTACTTTTGAAAGTAGGCTACTAGTAAGTCTCAGTAAGTACGTTACATTCGAAACACGAAATCTATATATTGAGTTGTAAGACCTACCTGAATCTTTGCCAAGTTACTTTTGAAAGTAAGAGTACGTCTCAATAATTACGTTACATACGAAACACGAAATCGCTCTATTCAGTTGTAAGATCAAAATTAATAACCACCAATTTACTTTTGAAAGTACTAGCTTGTCGCAATAATTACTTTACATATGAAACACGAAATCGCTACATTGAGTTGTAAGACATTTTTTAATCATCACCAAATTACTTTTGAAAGTAGGCTACTAGTACGTCTCAGTAAGTACGTTACATTCGAAACACGAAATCTATATATTGAGTTGTAAGACCTACCTGAATCTTTATCAAATTACTTTTGAAAGTAAGAGTATGTCTCAATTACTACGTTAAATACGAAACACCAAATCGCTACATTCAGTTGTAAGACCTTCTTGAATTATCACCAATTTACTTTTGAAAGTACGAGTATGTCTCATAACTACGTTACAAACGAACCACGAAATCTCTATATTCAGTTGTAAGACCTTCTTGAATTATCACCCATTTACTTTTGAAAGTACTAGTATGTAATCATTACCAATTTACTTTTGTAAGTACTAGTATGTCGCAATAATTACGTTACAAACGAAACACGAAATCGCTACATTGAGTTGTAAGATCAAATTGAATCATCACCAATTTACTTTTGAAAGTATTAGTATGTCGCAATAATTACTTTACATACGAAACACGAAATCGCTACATTGAGTTGTAAGATCAAATTGAATCATCACCAATTTACTTTTGAAAGTATTAGTATGTCGCAATAATTACATTACATACGAAACACGAAATGGTTACATTGAGTCGTAAAACCTACTTGAATCATTACCAATTTACTTTTGAAAGTACTAGTATGTAATCATTACCAATTTACTTTCGAAAGTACTAGCTTGTCGCAACAATTACGTTACAAACGAAACACGAAACCGTTAGATTGTGTTGTAAGACCTTCTTGAATCGTCACGAATTTACTTTTGAAAGTATTAGTATGTCGCAATAATTACTTTACATACGAAACACGAAATCGCTACATTGAGTTGTAAGATCAAATTGAATCATCACCAATTTACTTTTGAAAGTATTAGTATGTCGCAATAATTACATTACATACGAAACACGAAATGGCTACATCGAGTCGTAAAACCTACTTGAATC